CTGTCCAGTGATGATCCTCCCTTTACCCTCCTGATATTGAGTGTGAGGATACACACTCGTGAAGGCATGTGAGCCAGTCCTTCATGCCTTTATCTCCCCCCATTTTAGATAAAAAATGTTTCAATTGTCCATTCCAATTCTCTATCAGATCATTACTTTGAGTATGGTATGCCCACTTAATATGATGTTTCTTGGCCCATTGCTGCAGCTGTTGGGCTATAAAGTGTGTTCCTTGGTCTGAGGAAATATAACTTGCTGGCCTAAATTGGTACAGTATCTTTTGTTCCAGTCCTTTGCTGGTGTTTTTGGCATTTGCATCTGTCACAGGATAAGCAAAGTCCAGTCTAGAGTAAGTATGTATTCCTGTGAGGAGGACCCATTTGTAGCCACCTGGAGCCACAGACATAATTGGTGAAGTGTCTGTTCATATCTTCTGCCCAGTTTTGAATTGTGTGTTTTGCCTTTTTGATGTTTAGGTGTTGGAGTTTTCTGTACATTTTAGAAATAAGTTCCTTTTCATATATGTTGTTGCTGAATATTTTTTCCAATCTGGAGCTTCAGTTTTTACTCTTTTGGAGAAATCTTTTGATGTACCCAAGAGTTTACTTTTCAGAAGATACAATCATCTAGTTTATGTTCTACTGTTTATATTTTTAGTTATGTTTGATAGTCTGTTTATGTCATATATTGTTGTTGTTGTTAAGTGCCATCGAGTCGTTTCCGACTCATAGCGACCCCATGCACAGCAGAACATCATATATTAGGGCCCTTAATTTGCCCATATTTTTTCTTTGATGAATTTTATAGTTTTAGGTTTTACATTTAAGTCTTTGATCCATCTTAAGTTTATTTTTGTGTTTGGTTTGAGGTATGGATCATGTATCATTTTTCTGCAAATGTATATCCAGTTTGCTAGTACTGTTTGTTAAAGAGACTGTCTCTTCCCCACTTAGTAGGTTTTGGCCCTTTGTCAAAGATCAGCTGTCCATAGGTGGATGGATCTATTTCTGAGTTCTGAGTTCTGTTCCACTGGTCTACATGTCTGTCCTACCAATACCAAGCTGTTTTGACAATAGTGGCTCTATGGCAGGTTTTGAGATTGAGGATTGTGAGACTTCCTACTTTGTTCTTTTTCTTCAGTACTGCTTTGTTTATCTGAGATTTCTTTCCTTTCCATATAAAATGAGTGATTTTTTTAATCCCTGTCCTTGCAGAATGCTGATAGAATCTGGATTAGGATTGCACTGAATGGTATTGTTTTCCTTATTTCCTTTTTCAGAGATCTCTGTTGATGTAGAGGAATCCAGCTGACTTTTACATTCTGATCTTGTATCCTGCCACTATGATGAATCTTTCAATTAGTTCCAGTAGTTTTCTTGTTGAGTCTCTGGGATTTTCTGTGTATAGGATCATACCGTCTGCAAACAAGAATCATTGTACCTTCTTCTTTAGCAATTTAGATGTCTTTTCTTTCCTTATTGCCTGACTAGGGCTTACAATACAATGTTGAATAGAAGTGGTAATAAAGGGCATCCTTGTCTGATTCCCATTTGTAAGGGGGGATGCTTTTAGTTACCACTGACAATAATGTTGGCTGTTGGTTTTGCATGTATGCCCTTTATTATGATGAGGAATTTCCCTTCTATTCCTATTTTGCTGAGAGATTTTATCAGGAATGGCTGTTGGTTTTTATCATATGTCTTTTCTGCATCGATTGGTAGAATCATATGGCTCTTTTCCTTTATTTTACTTATATGATGGATTATGTTGATTGTTTTTCTAATGTTGAATATCTTTGCATACCTGGTATGAACCCATTTGGTCATTGTGTATTATTTTATTGATTGGAGTCTGTTGGCTAGGATTTTATTGGGAATTTTTGCATTTATATTCATGAGGGATACTAGTCTATAATTTTCCTTTTTAGTGGTATGTTTGCCTGGTTTTGGTAGTAGGGTTATATTTGCTTCATAAAATGAATATGAGAGAATTCCATCCTTTTCCGTGTTTTGAAACAGTTTGAGTAGGATTGATTTCAGCTGTTCCTGAATGTTTGGTAGAATTCTCCACTAAACTGTCTGGGCCAGGACTTTGTTGGTAATTTTTTCATAACTTGTTCAGTTTCTTACTATGTAATGGGTCTGTTCAAATTTTCTACCCCAGTTTGTGTTAGTTTAGGTAAGTAGTGTGTTTCTAGAAATCAGTCCATTTCTTCCAGGTTTTCAAATTTGTTGGGGTACAATTCTTCATAGTATCCTAATGTTACCCTTTTTATTTCGGTTGGTACTGTTGTGATATCACCCATTTCATTTCTTATACATATTATGTGTGCATCTTCTGCTTTTTTCCTTTGTTAAATTTACCAGAAGATTTTATTAATCTTCTCAAAGAACCAACTTCCAGCCTTGAGCGGGAATATCACACCTTTCTGATCATCAGCCACTAGTGTGGTTTTCCGTGTAGTCCTCAGAGAGTGGAGCCTATTATCAAGTTGTTGCCTGGATCAGAATGCCACTTGAGAATATTCAAAATAGCTGCATCATCAGGCCAGCTGACAGTCCACAGCTCTATTTGTCTCTTTTATTATCTGTTTTCATCAGTTTCTTCTATTTGTTGGTATTTAACCCACTTCTTTATCTTTCCTTTTGAAGCTCAGGGTTCCAGGGTTATCTTCTGGGTCTTTTTCAGTTGTTTTCTTATTTCTTTGTTGTAAAGTATCTACATTATTATCTGCCTGTTCTGCCATCTTGCCAGAAGTCCATTTACATGGACTTTTGGGGAAGAAATTTAAGTATGTCCATGGTTTATAGATGAGGAAGCTAAAACTCAAAGGATGCTAAATAACTTACTGAATTACTAATTGGTAGAGATAAACTGGGAGCCAGGTCTGACTGCTTACAAAAATCTATGCTCATCTTCTCTGTCACACTGTGGTTTTGTAACAGTAGTTGTTGTCATTTCCAACTCATGATGATCCCTTTTTCTTTTACATTCTCCATGTTACCTAGACACAGGTAAAGTATATTCACATTCTTTGAAAAATTATGTATGATTTAGCAGTTATTCAAATTTAAAAATCCTATTTATTTGTTGTATATGGCTTATCCTTTTATTCCACCTAATTTATTCTTTCTTAACTTAGAAAAATTATGAACTTACAGGAATATATGTTGTTGTTGTTAGGTGCCATCGAGGAATATATAGAGAATGATAAAATCAATAGCCATCTACCCTCCATCCTTAATTTATAAATGTTAATCTTTGCTTCATATCTTTTTTCTCCAAATAAAACATGACTGAAAAAGTTGAGGTCTCCTTTGTTCTTCCCAGAAGAAAAACTGTCAGGAATTTGATATGTAGCTTTCTAGTCCAATTTTTACTACATAAATAGCACATAGTATGTCTGTGTGTTTTGAAGTTTACATAAAAGATATTTATACTTATTTTTCTGTTTTTTTCTTTCTTAATTATGTGTTTTCAAAGTCAGTTTGTACTGAGATATATGTAATTGTAGTTTATTCATCTCAACAAATGTATGATATCCCATTTTCTGTATATACCACAGTTTAACCATTTCTCTATCTGTAGGCATTAAGATTATTAACATTTTTTATAAATGTAGATAATACTACCTTGGAAATTCTTGTATATGTTTCTGATTTTCTCTACGATATAGTCCTCGAAGCAGAATTGATACAACATGGGGTTTGTGAGTTTTCAATTTCCATAGATATGTCAGTGACTCTGTAGAGTGGCTGTGCAAATTGACTTTCTTATTAACAGTGAACAAGAGGTCCTGATTCCTCACATCCTCTAGCCAGTTATTGTTATTACTAAACTCCTCTTCCCCTCAAATTGGATAGATGAAAAATATTTCCTCCTGTATTTTTTCTGCCTTTAAAAGCAACAGTTTTGCATTTCTTACAACCTCATAAAAGTCTTCAGTAGTTTCTGGTGAGAAGGTTTTTTTTGTTGTTGTGTTTTTTAATGAAACAGAGGTGGGTAGTGGGGAAAACACACCCTTATTTACTATATAATTAAATCATGTTTTCTAATTCAACATTCCATTATTTCCTTTGGTTTAAAAGAACATAGTATTTTTTTACTTGAAAGAGTTCACTTGACAGTACTTCAGAACCAGATAGTTTTAACTTTCATAATTTGGGTACTAGGGCCTTGAATTTTTTTCCATTAAATATTCTCACTTAAATCTTTTTATTTTTAACCAAATGTCTGCCTTCAAGGGGAGGAGAGATTGGAAGGAGACACAACTTTTCTTAAAAACTCAGTTGGAAGAAGTCACATGGTATACCGTATAACAAATGAAATGAATTGTAAGGAGTTCTAGAGTGAAAAGAAGAAATGATTATTTCATTTGGAGTAATATGGAAGGGATTACTCGAGGTGATACTGAAAAGTGTGTAATGAAGTTGCATAAAAATTTATAGAATGTTTACTATACAGTTTGTCATGATGATATGAAATTTAAAATTATCTAAATGTCTAATAGTGAAATGTTTACATAGATTATGGTGTGTCTGTTCTAATATATTATTACTTGATTATCTAAAAATGTTTCTGAAAAATAATAGCATTGAAAAATGCTTTAGCATGCTAAATAAAAAGTAATATAAAATTATATAGTATGATCCCAATTCTTGTTTTAAAATGTATATTAAAATAACTGGAAGTAAATACATTAAAAATGTTGAGATTATTTTTAGACCACTGGTATTTTTTTATATATTTCTGTATTTTCCAAAATATATTATTACTTCATAGTCAATGTAAGATTAAAAAACTCTGGGGTAAATCTTTATTTAGATTTAGTACCTAGAATGTAAAGAATATTGCTGTTACAGGTAGCATTCTATAAATTAGACTCTATGTGTATACTTCGTCTTTCATTTTGTGCTTTGCTCAAACAGAGTGACTGTTCTTTCTAAAAGTACTCAGTAGACTATGTTAAGAAGCCATAGTGGACTCTCTGTTTTGAACAGGTTGTTGGGGTGCCAGTTGGGACAACTTTACCTTCAACAGTGAAACAGGCTGTGGCCATCAGTGGAGGCCAAATCCTTGTAGCCAAGGCCAGCTCTTCTGTCGCCAAAGCAGTTGGTCCAAAGCAAGTTATGACCCAAGGAGTTGCTAAAGCAATCGTCAGTGGAGGTGGAGGAACCATTGTTGCTCAGCCAGTGCAAACTTTAACCAAGGCTCAGGTCACTGCTGCTGGCCCTCAGAAGAGTGGATCCCAGGGTTCAGGTAACTGGTACTAATTGAGAGCCCTTTCAGCAGCCGTCTCATCCAGAATTTCCTTTGCTGGTGATTTTATTTGCCATTTGATTCTGCTGGGAAAGCCTAGTAGGTTGATGTTACAGGAGTATATAAGAAAGTTTATGTTACTCCTTTTCATGTAACATTTACGTAGTAATTTGTAAGTAGAGCAGATACTTGCTTTAATAGAGAGTATTTCTTAATACTGTTTTCAGGTCTGAAGAATAATTCTCATTTCTTCTTATCCCCGTTTTGGGTTATACTTCAGACTTAGAAGCATTTTGAGGTACCTGATAATGCGTTCTCTACAAAACAGCAGTTTGAACACCTTGACTGTATCTTAGTTGCTGATGCGTTGTCACTGTGAGGAAAAAGGCACCTAACACATTAGATATTTAACTTACTTTGGAAGGTCTTGGTGAAGCTGAAGAATTGTTGCAGTAGAGGATGCATGCACTCATTAGTTGGAAGGATAGAAGGTAGTAGATGTCCAAAATAAAGATTTGAGAGGTGATGACAAATTGCTGTTGATGACAGTTTAGGTTGTGACGTTGAGGATGAGTGCTTGAGACAGATTGAAGAAGATCTTTGGAGCTTAGAAGATGAAGCAGCCAAAAAGCCACAGAATAAAATGGGTCATTTACAGGGTTGTCATTGAGGATGACAGTCTTTAGTGTAGAGAACAATACACCCACTCCTCACTTACCTACGTGGCTAGGTTCCAAAGAAGAGGTGTTTATGTGAAAATTAGCGTTATGTGAAAATGAAAGGTTTTTCTTTTTTGTTTTTGTTTTGTTTTCAGACCATCCATTTGTTTAATTTTCAAAAATTTTTTAAAGAAAATATGATCATAGAGGAGCCCTGTATTGTAGTGGTTAAGCCATTTAGCTGTTAACCAAAAGGTCAGTTTGAACTCACCAGCTGCTCTTCAGAAGAAAGGCAAAGCAGTCTGCTTCTGAGAAAGATTTATACCCTTGGGAATTCTATGGGGCAGTTCTGCTCTGTCCTATAGGATCACTGAGTCGGGATCGACTCAGTAGCAGTGGGTATGATCATAGAAATAATAACAGCTAAGATTTGTTGATGTGCTTATCACTGTGATGAATCCAGTTATGGATTATTCCTCTGTGGAGGACGCTTGCAGGAGACAAAGCAGGATGAAGACGGGCTGTGTGACTAGAGGGCTCACGACTTAACTTCATCTTCTTCCTGTACTGGATCAGAGCTTCCTTCAAGGAGCCACTTCTGGGGCTCTATTCCCACCCCTGCAAGCCTTGTGTTCACCATCCTGGAGCCTGCTCTGCCCTCCAGACCTGGCGAATCACTGAGCCTCGAGACTTATTGTGAGGGCTCTGGGAGCCTGGCTGCGCACACAGCTCCACTGAGACATAGGTTTCAGGCCCAGTTAAGGTCATTCTGGGATGTCATTAAACTCAGATGTATTTCTTTCAGACACCCTCTTGGATACCATTTTTTCCTCTCTTCCCAACCCACAGCAGTTTTGAACTGCTGAGTCAGGCCACATAAGAGCTAGGAACCCAGGACAGGTACCCATTGGCTTGATGCTGCCTGCACATTCACGTGGATCCTAGTCCAGCTAGCTATGGGGCCCTTGCAAGCAGGAGGGAGCAAAGGATGCAGGGCTTAGCTTCCCAGAAGTCACCTGGGAACCCTCCTCAAGAGATGGGACACTCTGCAGCTATTGCCACGATGCCCATTGCTTCATTAATACACAAAATAGATAGTAGATTATTTACTGTTGTAAATTAAATGTCTGATAAGAGATGGTGAGTAAGTAGGTATAACTTGAGTAGGAAGTCACTCTAGCAAATGAGAGGAGTTCAGTGAATGAAAGCAAACAGGAGAGGGATAAGCTGGTGGAACCAGGCATAAAGGAGCCTGTGGTTTTACCATGAGAGAGGGACGGTAATGATCTGAAAGCCAGACTGGAGAGCAGGGAAAAAAAAAAACAAAACACCGGTATCTCTGGCACTGGAAGGGTCGGTGGTTCAAACCTACCAGCCACTCCACAGAAGGAACACAAGGCAAACTACTTCCCTAAATATTTACAGCCTCGGAAACCCAATGGGGATCACTGTGAGTAGGAAACGACTTGATAGCATTGAGTTTGGTATTTTTTTGGTTTTCTCCCAGTCTTGGCCCTCAGATAGTAAGGTATGCGCATGTAAGATTAAAAAGAAAAAAATAAAAGCCAGCCTCTAACCAGGATGTCCTTGGGGAGTAGAGTATTTAGAGGACTGATAGATTTAAGTACAACAAGAAGAGATAATGTTCAGAAAGTTTGGGATTATAGAGGAATAAAATCACAGCAGGAATTCCATGGTGAGAGAGTTTGGGTGGGAGAGGAGGTTGGGGAGATGAGATCAGGACAGGGAGTAGTATGGAGATGGGAAGGTGAATGACCAGAGAGGTTTGTGCTTTTGGCAATGGCTGAGGTAGTAGACAGTGATGTAAGTAAAAATTAGTTCTGGGAGAGGGGTGGCACTCAGTTGTAGTTCTGTACTCCCTAACATTTGGGGGCAGCTTCCCGAGACTTTACAGTTACAGTGAGGAGAGTGACCATCCAGCAGAGGCTGCAGGAAGTGTTGAAAGGCCTTTCCTGTGGCTGACTGGTGTGGCTTCATTTCAGGGAGAATTTCATTTAAAGTAACTTCCTTAGTGATACTGCCTCGGAAACCCAAGGAGGGGTTGTTATGAGCCAGGTCCAATTTGACAGCACACAACAACGCAGAGAATTTGATATTTAAGTCTTTCTTAAGACTCGTGTTTGGAAGTTTTACAGCCATGTACATAGATAAGTAAATTCTAAGGGAATGATAGAAAGCTCTTTGACCTGGATGAAATTTTTAAAAGTTTAATTATAGCCAGTTGTTGACTATAGCATTTCTTAGTTCCTGGAAAGTGAAGGAGGCCAAAAGACTCATTTATTACTAGAAAATGACTAAAGATGCTTTAGGAAATGGGGTGTGTGTGTGTATTTGTTCCTAGAGAGGGTGATTGTTTCATTGATTGTGTGAACCCCAGTAATTTTGAGAATGAAGACTACTCATTATCAATAATTACAGTGGGACATACGTATAAACTGGAATTGTTAACCCTATTTATATAAAGATATAAATTAGTTTGTGGTAATTTCTTAGCCTGTAAATTATATTTTAATTTAGCAAGATATTTAAGAATATCAACCTTTGAAGTATTGTGTATGTGAGAAACTCAAACCATAGAGTTTACTATTTGTTAGTGTGTGTTTTATTAAGTGTTGTTGTTTCTGTATTTTAATTTAGAGAGAGTATTGCCCTTTGTTCCCGTTTATTTTATAATTTTCCTTTTTTTTCTCTCTCTCCTTTACCATTTTAGTGATGGCAACATTGCAGCTACCAGCCACTAATTTGGCTAACTTGGCAAATTTGCCTCCTGGCACCAAACTATATCTTACCACAAACAGCAAGAACCCTTCAGGAAAAGGAAAACTGCTACTGATCCCTCAAGGAGCCATCCTGCGAGCTACCAACAATGCTAGTTAGTCCATCATTAAGTCATTTGATTCTTGGGTATCTGGGTATGTTCATCTCATCCACCTGAGGGGTAGTTATTAACCTGTGTCAGAAAGCATATCCGTAGCTCTATACAGTGGTAAAGGAGCTCTGGTGGTACGGTGGTTCAAGCATTTGACTGCTAACCAGAATGTTGGTGGTTTGAACCCACCTAGCTGCTTTGCAGGATAAAGATGAGGCATTTTGCTTCCATAAAGATTTACAGCCTTGGAAACCCTATGGGGCAATTCTCCTCTGTCCTATAGGAGTGCTATGAGTCAGAATCAACTCGATGGCCATGAGTTTTGCTTATTTTGCTTCAGTAGTGTAATGATAGCATTTTCCAACAATGGGTTTAAAATATACACATGATTTAACTAAAAGTAGATTAAAATAATCAGTTTTAGGAGGTGACATTGTTTTGGGTCCCCATATTCAGAGTTTGGGGTCAGGAATAAATCGCACCTAAGAAGATGCTATTGAGTCTGTGTTAGGAGAAAGCTGCTTGCATGAGCTGTGAATGGAAAGTTCTTCCTTTCAGTGGGGTGTTATCTGAAAGCTGTCTAGTTTCCAGAAGCTGGACGTCTATTTTCATTTTAGTGGGGTTGAGAATAAGAATAGAATCAAATGTCTACTGGCATTATTTAGATGTACTCTGTTTGTTAGAATTAGAGATGGAAAGAGAAATACAAATTCAGCCTTTTGTATATGACTCTTCTTAAAGGCCCATGGAAACTAGGAAATTTACTTAGACCTGCGTCAGCTTTTGCTTTGGCTTATATAGAAAAACAATTTCAAGTGATGTTGAAAGGGTAAGAGGAAGTATATTCTGCTCTGAATCAGAAGTCAAATTGGTACAGCAATTAAGAACATTAGAATTTAGCTACCCTTTCCCAAATACTGTAAGAAGTTCTGATGGTGTAGTGGTTAAGGCATTTGGCTGCTAATCAGAAGATCTCTGGTTTAAATCCACCATCCACTCTGCAGAAGAAAGAGGGGGCAGTCTGCTTTCGTAAAGATTTACAGCCTTGGAAACCCAATAGGGGATCACGATGAGTCAGAATTGACTTCATGGCAGTGAGTTTGAGTTTTCCCAAACGCTGTGTTTAAGTTAATCACCATTTTACTGACTTTAGTGGGTGATTTCTAGTCTCATACCCTGGTATTTCTTTCTTGGTTCTTAAGCAGTGGTGTATCAAAAAGTTAGATATCTAAGAAAAAAGCAATTTCAGTATTCCCAGATTTCATCCAGAATGAACTCTGGTGGCATAGTGCCTAAGGCATTTGACTGCTAACCAGAAGTTTGGTGGTTCAAACCCACCAGCCACTCCACAGAAGGAAGACTGGGCAATCTACTTCTGTAAAGATTTTTACTGCCTTGGAAACCTGTAAGGGGTCACTATGAGTCAGAATCAACTTGGTTTGGTTTTGGAAATTCATCCAAAGAGTGACTTAGATTTTTGTAAAACCCTTAGGGTCAAAATAAACCATTGGGAAGTAATCTGCTCCTATAGAATCACTAGAATTAAGATGAGGAAGGAAGTTGAACTTTACTACTTACTGAATGAGTATTTTTATTCCAGGTAGTTTATATCCATTATCTCACTAGAAGGAAAGAAAAGAAGATCCAAAGTCTTTAGAGTGGAGTTAGAAAAGCAGAAATGGATAGGGAGCTGGAGTCATCGTAAGCATAGAGAAAGTCTTCATGTTCCTTGGGGGGAAAGCAGAGAATAAATAGGACTGTAAAATGGACTAAATTCCCTCCGTTTTCTTGAAATTGAATTAAATGCCAAAAAAGTTGGAAAGCATCTGTATGAGCAAATTCAAGTGTTAATGAACTGAGTCTCATGAAGTTGCCACAACTAAAGCAACACTTGTAAAAGGTTAACTTCTTCTTTATACGCAGAGCTGAAATAGGTGTCATTCATTTGAAAGTAAATAGATTTCAGTCTCTAAATCCCAGACATTTTTACTCACTTTCACCACAGAATATATTACAGAAAAGTAGAGAAAAATGGGACAAGAGAGGCAACAGTGCTATAGAGGAGACCCCTCTCTGGGCCCATCTGTTTTTTGCTAAGCCTTTGCTTGATGCTTTTTAGGGTGATGGTACTGTCATTCTTTGCATTTATAGACCTCCAGTCTGGCTCAGCTGCTGCTGGTGGTGGAGGTGGTGGCAGCGCAGGAGGTGGTGGAGTAGGAGGAAGTGGAGGCACCCAGAGCACCACCGGCCCTGGGGGGATATCCCAGCACCTGACGTACACGTCTTACATCCTCAAGCAAACTCCCCAGGTCTGGTCATCTGTGACTGGTATCTTTGAAATCATTTAGCTCTTTAATTCTGCCTTTCATTATAAGGAGGAGCTCTGGTGGTGTAGTGCCTAAGGCATTTGACTCTTGTCCAAAAGGCTGGCGGCTCAAACCCACCAGACACTCCTCGGAAGGAAGATTGGGCAATCTGCTTCCGTAGTGATACCGCTTTGGAAACCCAAGGGGCGGGGGTCTGCTATGAGTCAGATCCAACTAGATGGCAGTGAGTTTGGTTTGATTTTTCATTATACTTTTACAGCTCTGGGGTCTGGGGTCAATATTAACATTTGCCACGTTGTTAGTGTTATTTTGGATTTGTTTTGCTTTGAGAGGTGACATTGAAACCGTGAAATTTCCAAATACAATTGTCCCTCAGTATCTGTGGGGGATTGGTTCCAGGACCCCTGTGGATACCAAAATCCACAGATGTTCCAAGTCCATTATATAAAACGTTGCATTATTTGCATATAATATATCACATCCTCCCATGTACTTCAGATCATCTCTAGGTTACTTGTAATACAATGTAAATGCTGTGTACATAGCACTTTATGCTCCCTTTGACCACTTAATTCCTTCCACATTCACACTTGCATTTCATTCCACACACATATACACAGCCCTCCCCCTGCAAATATTTTTGATAACTGATTGGTTGAATCTGCTGATTCAGGACCCATGGATATGGAAGGCCGACTGTAATAACTGATAACAGTTAGTGCTTGCTATGTGGTGGAAGTGTATAGTGCTAGGCACTCTATTATATTAGTCATCTCATTTAAGTTAACCCTGTCAATAACCACATCAGATATGTAATCTGTTCATTTTACCAAAGAGGAAATAGAAATTCAGAGGAGTTTAATAAGTAACATATCTAAGATATCCTTGTTAAACTAGTGGTAGATTTTGGATTTCAGCCCACATCTTTGTTACTCAAAAATGCTTTTGACTATGCTAATTGTCTCCCAAATCCACGAGATAGTAAACAGTATTATTATGCAGGTGAAAATGTGTCCCTAGGAGGGAGTAGCCAAAGTGACAGTATCAAGCTATGGTATTAAAAGTTAAGTTAGATTCAAGATTAGAAACAGATTTCTACCTTCTTCCCCTTGTCACTAACGTTTCTAATGAGGATAATGGAATTTTTGTTACAGAAATTATTGAGAAGGAGGAATAATTATCCATCTGATTGAATCAAACTTTGAAGACTTGAATTAGATTGCAAAACTTGTGTTTCCATTAGCCTGCTCTGAAGTACTGTGCAAAGTTTTAGAAAGCGTGTATAACTTTTTCTAGTGACATTTAGAGCAGAGCTATTCTTCTCAATTATTTTGACCAAGTTGCAGAATTGAAGGAGAGCACTATAGCTTGTAACATGGGACCTTGTGATTTAAAGGATGAGAGCAAGTCATTGGTGAACAAATTATTGCTTGGTTCTTTTTTTTTTTCCTAACTTAGGGTACATTTTTAGTTGGCCAGCCATCACCTCAGACATCTGGAAAACAGCTGACTGCTGGGTCAGTCGTCCAAGGAACGCTAGGCGTCAGCACATCTTCTGCACAAGGACAACAGACGTTAAAAGTCATCTCTGGACAAAAAACCACTTTATTTACACAGGTAAATACACACACCTTGGATATGTAGATTGTGGCATTTATTTGTTTACATCTTTGTAACTTACCTCTTTCCACAAAGAAATTAAAGACACAAGAAAATCAACAACAGATCTTGAGATTTGGGAAAATATAAGTAGAATGAGAAGATGAGTCCAGAGAGTTGTTTAGATATGCCAGTAGTAAGATCTTCACAGTTAATAAAATGTATCAATTTGTCACCTAAAGCAAATGAGAAACATGATCAGTCATAAAATTCACACTCTGAGAGGACAAAACAACATACTTCCTTAGAAGAAACAAAGATTTACTTAATACTTCTTTTCTAAAACTTTGGAGGGGACTGTATAGGAGACTATGATTAGTATAACAGGTGATTTCATTCAGTTCCCATACAGTAAGTTAATAGGTATGATGGGTGTATTTTTTATATCATTCTTTAGTATGAACCAAAGGAAGTTTTAACTGAGGGAGGGATACCATAATCACCTGTAGGAGGATCTGTAGTTGGATGTCAGAAACTTATCAAATGAGAAACAAAGTACAGAAGGGTATATACGGTATGATACCATTCATTGAAAATTAGTGATTTTCTGTGACTACTTATATGTGAGTCAGCAATTCTCAAAGCATGGTCCACAGACCCCTGAGATCCTTTCAGTGACTCTACAAAGCCAAAACTGTTTTCATAATAAAATGATACTTTGCCTTTTTCATTGTGTTGACATTTGCACTGATGGTATATGAGCAACCATGGGTTAAACTGCTACTACCTTCACATGCATGATGGCTGTGGCATCAAGCTTTATTAGTGATCGTTGTATTCTTCACTTTCACAGATTATGGATGGGTAAATGAAACATTCAAAGACAGACACAATTGACCAAACTTTTCAGAGAACTGGCTTTTGGGTTTGTTGGCTTTCTCTATTGTATTCCTGTTTACAAATTAATGGATTTCTTTAGCATTGAGTTCTTTGTACTTACTTTGACTTTAGTTTTTTTTTTTTCTCTAGTTTCTTACAGGGATTCAAACCAGTTCAGTCATGGCCAACACAGTGAAGTCAGAACAGACCCAAATTTGTAAGATACGGGCATACTAGAATAACCGGGATGGGGAAAATTCTAGGTCAAAGCACTGGAAAAGGACATTCAGAGGAGGTGTAGTGAATCCTTGTAGGAACCTGGTGTGGGAAACTACATTATTGCTAAAACTGTGGCATGTGGCACATGTTCAAAGCCATGACGTTAGCCACCATCTTGAACTGAGCACCACTCTTTCCCACTCTGCTGATCAAGAGATTTGGTTGCTATATAACACACACACTGCTCTTGTTTTCTAAGAGAGAGATTAAGTTTCTAGCAGGGTGTTGACTTGTAATGATTATTCTGGTACATCCAGGTTTTACAAATCTGGGTCCATTCTGGTTTCACTTCGTTGGCCCATGACTGAACCAGGAAGAACAAGTTTGAAGCCTTGGTTTCTTAAGATAGAAGTTCAGATCACTGAATTGAGACTGCTCTTCCTTTCACTGATGCTCTGAATGTACCTCTGTGCTCTTCTTTAGCAGTATCCACACAAAGTTTGATAATGTTTTCATTTCTTGAACTTCAGAGAATTTATCCATTTCCTTTAAGTAGTTGAATTTGTTGGTTAAATGTTGTTCACGTTCTAATTGTTAGTTGCCATCAAGTCAACTCTGACTCATAGTAACCTTACATATAACAGAACAGGATATTGCCCATTCCTGTACCATCTTCATAATTGTTGCTATGTTTGAGTCCATTTGTTTAACCAGTGTGTCAGTCTGTCTCACTAAGGACATCCCTTGCCTCCACTGACCCTTCACTTTAACAACCAGGATATCCTTTTGTAGCAGTTGATCTTTCCTGATTCTGTGTCCAAACTAAGCAGGCCACGGTCTCACCATCCTTGCTTCTAAGATGCGTTCGGTTTTTTTCTAACACTTGATTTGTTCATTCTTCCCGCAGTCCATGGTATATTCATTATTCTTTGCCAAAACCCCAATTTGAATGCATCAGTCCTTCTGTTTTCTTTTTCATTGTCCAACTTTCACATACACATGAGATGATTGGAAAGACATGGCTTGGGTCCAGATGTACCTAGTCATCGGAGTGCCATGATATTTTAGTCATGACATTTCTTTATTATCTTTTTATGTGTGTAGAATCTTTAGTGATGTCCTCTTTTTCATTCTCAGTTTTGGTAATTATGTGTCCTTTTTTTCTTGATTAAACTAGCTAAAGGTTTACTTATTTATCTTTTCAAATCACCAACATTAGTTTCCTTGAGTATGAATTTTCCTTTTCCAGATGTCCTCAGGTATTTCAAATAGACATATGGCCCCACACTTCATCTTAGATAGTTTTTAAATCCTAAGCTGACTTCTTCTTACCTGCTTGTGTTGCAGCCAGTGCAGTGATTCTACCCCCTGTTCTGCCACAGTTGAGACAGTTAACTGTTTCCCTCCTTGAAGGGGCTTACCTTCTTGAAGAATGCTGGTTACTTGGTTGCCTTGAGACTTCAGCTGTCTGGTGTGTTCAAGAAAATCATGATTTTATAATTTATCCAGCTTTTTCTTAGAGTGGGAGCAATATTCTTTGCAGCTTTCTACATCTTCTGTGGAAACAGAAATCCCTGACCAATGGGTTTTAATGTAACAGAGAAAGCTAAATTGATACAGGTTTAGATTATATGATCCATTGAAACCTAAAGAAACTTCTACTTTTTGAGTTTTGGTGTAGCATCAAAGAATAACAGCAGTATTTGAAAAAAAGCATTAAAGTACAGTCATTCCACAAAGAACAAATTAATCCAAAGGACTAATGGATCACGTGAGCCCCAGCCTCCAACCATGACTCTGAGACCAGAAGAACTAGATGGTGCTCACTTACCATTGCTAACTGCTCTGAAAGTGATCACAGTAGGTGTCCCCTGGTAGAGTGGGTGAAAAATGTGGAACAGAATTCAAAATTATATAAAAAAAAAAAAAGACTAGCCTTACTGATCTGATAGAAACTGGTAGAACCCACGAAACTATGGCCCTTAGACACCCTTGAAGCCTAGAATTAAACTCACTCTGAGGCTCAACTTTCAGCCAAACAACAGACAGGCCTGTAAGATAAATAATAACAACAGGGAGGTATGTCCTCCTGAGGAGAATCAACCATACCAGATCAAAAGGGTCACATTTGCCCAGGAATAAAGCCCAGAAGACAATGGATGCAGCACACATTTGGTGCTTTTTCAAGTTTCTGTGGCGGACTCTTCCAGTATGTCTTGCACAGGGCTTCTGTTTTTTTTGAGACTTTCTTTGCAGCTTTTCTTATGTTTTGGATTTTTTTTGTTGACTATCTATCCTGGCTTTCTAAACTAGGTTTTGAGCATAGCCAATTAAAATAACATTTATTTGTTTCCTGTTATCTCGTTGTAGTTTGTATTTGGTACACTATTTTCAACCTGGAACAGAAGAATATTTTTTATTAATCTAAAGTAAGATCCACAGTAAAGATAAAATATAAATCTTTGTGCATGAAAGTATACATCAGCAAAATATATAATGTACAAAGACTATTAGGAATATGAAGATAATAAAACCTAGTCATGGGGAAGATTTTAATGTATGTCTCAGAATTTAGCTCATCAGGTGGACAAATCCTGGTACAAATTTGAACTAGAATAGCGCTGTTAACAGGCTTAGTTATTTATCTTTCAAACACAGAATACCCATTTTTCTTTCTCTGCCTGTGGAATATTAATAAACTGATTATATACTTGGCCGCAAAGAAAATCTTAGCATATTCCAAAGGTGGAATTCATTGTGCCACATTCTCTGCCCATACCTAATAAAAGCCTAAAATAAAAACCTAAAAGCACTTTGAAATTGAAACATTCTTCCAAATTCTTAGATCAAAAAAAAATCAAAATTGCTTGATTTTAATATAAATGACAGTTGTTGTTGTTGTTATGTGCTGTGGAGTCGGACCCGACTCATAGCGACCCCTCCTTGGGTTTCTGAGGCAGTATCACTATGGAAGTAGCTTGCCTTATCTTCCTTTTGAGGAGTGGCTGGTGAGTTTGAACTGCCAGCCTTCTGATTAGCAGTCAAGTGCCTTAGGCACTATGCCACCAGAGTTCCCATAAATGACAGCACTTCATACTAAAACCTATGGAAGTGACCTAGAGCCATGCTTAAGAAAATTCAGAGCTTTAAATGTTTTTCCCTTTCAGTCCCCCATCTCTCTTATTAAGGTATAATTTACATAAGATAACACACAGATTTTAAGTGTACCACTCAATGAATTTTTGACAAACGTAACAACCACCTTGAAACATTCTCGCTTTCCTTGCTAGTTTTTTTATATCAGCATTTTCTCTTTCTGTCATCATAGATTAGTTTTTGTCTGTTCTTGATTTTCCTGTCAGTGGAATCATTCTGTGTACTGTTTTATGTCTAGCTTCTATCTCCAACATAATATTTTTGAGATTTATCCATGTGTGTCTCAGTCATTTACTGTTTTTATTCTTGCATAGTATTTTATTTTGTTGTGTGACTCTGTTCGCCTGTTGAAGGACATTTAGCTTGATTGCCGTTTTTGACTCTTAGGAACAAAGAAACTAGCAAATGGTTTTCCAAAGTAATTGTATCATTTGACTCTGCTGTAAGTAATGGGGAAAAGTTCCACCAACACTGAGGATCTAATTTTAGCTATTTTTGTGAGTGAAGTGATGTCTCATTATGGCTTTAACTTGTATAAGACAACGATGCAAATTATGCCATGGATTCTAATCATGGCTCCTCTAGATACTAGCTGGGTGACCCTCACTGAGCTTTATTTCTTCATCTGTAAAATGGGACTGATAGTACCTACCCTGTAAAGTTATTGAAATGACATAAGATATATAAAAGTACTTTCTGCATTTCTGGGACATAGTAAGCCCTTAAAGACAATAAATTCTACCCACTTACGGAGTACATTAATTTTGGGTACTGAACAATCATTTAGACCAAAGGCCAGGAGCCTATGCCCAAGGCTGCTTATTTTTGTAAATAATGTTTTATTAGAACATAGCCACAGATATTTAATATTACAGTAGCAGAATTGAGCAGTTACACCAAAGATATAGCCTGCATAGCCAAAAATTGCTTACTTTCTGGCCGATTATAGAAAAAGTTTGCTGATCACTGATTTAGACAACTGAAACCAGTTTGTTGGATCGTTCTCCAGTACTGAAATGCTAAACCTATAACTAGCCTTCCCTTACCATCGAGTCGATTGCAACTTGTGGTGACTCTTTAGAAAGAATAGAACTGCATGTAGGGACAGTCTTTACAGAGGCAGACTGCCATGTCTTTCTCCTTCATACCTAGCCCACAGCACCATTAATCTACCAATTTAAATCTGGCCTTGTCTGAGTTAGATTTTCTTGTTTAACAGAACAGAAGTATGTATAAGAGAACTTTTAATTATTTTGAAAACAGATGACCTGATAGTTTTAACACACTGCTGCCAAATAGTGACTTGCAATTGTATTCACTTACTTGTTCTTCATTAGAGGTAAAGGATTATTTGTAGGTGGAAAAAATCTTAAAATTTAGAGCTCATTGGAAAGTTGCATTAACTCCTTGTATAATTTTGAATAGGAAGACTTTCTTTGGATTTGCTCTAATTCTTAAAGCATGCCTCAGATGTAGTTAAGGAATAAATTATGCCTGTTAACCAGGGCAACATTATTACCTAATTCATTTTGTTTCTGCAGGCAGCCCCTGGGGGACAAGCATCTCTAATGAAAATGTCCGATAGTTCATTGAAGTCTGTGCCAGTCACCTCACAACTCTCAAAGCCTGGAACCACAATGCTGAGAGTAGCAGGAGGGGTTATCACAACTGCCACTTCCACAGCTGTGGCCCTCTCAGCAAATGGTCCTCCTGCACAACAGGTGAGAATTAGCATGACAGTAGAAAATCATAATGAAACCTGAAAAAAATACTAACATAAACAAGATGCTCAACAGGCACACCAGTGAGTCATATTGCTTATGTTTTTAGATATAGTTAACATGCCATAAAATTTATCATTTTAGAGTGTGCACAAGTTTGTACAACCATCATCACTATCTAGTTCCAAAACATTTTCATCACCCCAAAAAGAAACACTCTATTCATCAGTAGTGACTCCCTACTCCCCCAGCTGAGTAACGATCATCTTTCTAGCTGTATGGATTTGCCTGTTCTACACATTTCACATAAATTCGTACAGCATTTGGCCTTTTCTATCTCTGGTAATGTAGTGCCTACGACATTTGACTGCTAACCAGAAGGCTGGCAATTCAAACCCACCAGACGCTCCTTGGAAGGAAGATGGGGCAATCTACTTCCGTAGTGATACTGCCTCAGAAACCCAAGGATGGGTTGCTGTGAGTCGGGTCTCGACGACACATGACAACAGCAACAGCAACATCTCTTTTACTTAGCATAGTATTTCCAGGGATTGTCTAGGTTTTAGTGTGTATCAGCCCGGTGATAATCAACACATCTTGATTGCATGTTCAGTCAATTTCAGACTATAGAAGTTGGTAGGAATCTTTAATTTCCTCATCTTTGGCTTTGGTCGTTGGTGCGTAAATTTGAATAATAGTATTAACTGGTTTCCTTGTAGGCATGTGGATATTATCCTATCACTGACAGCGTTGTACTTCAGGACAGATCTTGAAACACTATTTGTGGCAATGAATGCCACATCATTCTTTTTCAATTTTTCATTCCTAACACAGTAGATCATATGGCTGTCTGATTCAAAATAGCCAAAATCAGTCCATTTCAGCTCACTGATGCCTAGCATGGGAGCTCTGGTGGCATAGTGTCTAAGGCACTTGACTGCTAACCAGAAGGCTACGGTTCAAACCCATCAGCCACTCCTCAGAAGGAAGGTTGGGCAATCTATTTCTGTAATGATACCACCTCGGAAACCCAAGGAGGAATCGCTATGAGTTGAGTCCGACTCGACAGCATATGATGACAGCACATTGCCTAGGATATCGATCTTCATGCGTTCCATTTCATTTTTGACAGCTTCCAGTTTTCTTAGATTCATACTTTGTACATTCCATGTTCCAATTATTAATGGAACAGTTTGCATTTTGAGTCCTGCCACATCAGCCAACAGAGGTCCCGAAAGCTTTGCTTTATCCGTATCGTTAAGGTCATTTCTACTCTGAGGAGTCAGCTCTTCCCCAGTCAAATTTTGAGTGCTTTATGACCTGATGGGCTCATCTTCTGGCACCGTATTGGACAGTGTTTCAAGGCTATTCATAAATTTTTCCAGTAATATATTAGACAGTGTTTCACTGCTATTCATAAGATTTTCACTGGCCAGTTGTTTCGGAAGTGGATGGCCTCTTCTTCCTTCCGAGTCCATCTTAGCCTGGAAGCTCTGCTGAAACCTGCCCACCATGAGTAACCCTGATAGCATTTTGTAACACAGTGACATAACCTCCAGCCTCACAGCAACACGTAAGCCACCAAAAGACCGCAAACTGAGAGACAAGTTCATCTCCCTCAGTTGTTCCTAACCCCTCAGCATTTGCCTACCTCGGGCAACAGCCTTAATATAGAGCCACCCACAAGTGAAAAGCAGCCTCCAAGCCCTGGGCCCACCTACGTTAGGCCTCAGCCTTAAGAGCCATTCTCAAATCAAAAGCAGCCCCTAAGCTCCAGGCCAGCCTACCTCAGACCCTGGTGTTTAATAACCAGCTGTCCCCAAGCAAAAAGCACCCTCTAAGCCCCAGGCCCACCTACCTCAGGTCCCAGCCTGTGATTATCACTGGTGACTGGAATGCAAGAGTTAGAAATAAAGGAGAGTTACTGGTAGTTGGAAAATATGGCCTTGGACATAGAAATAACACTGGAGATCACATGATAGAATTTTGCAAGACAAACTACTTACTCATTAGCAATACCTTTTTTCAACATATAATGATAACTATACATATGGACTTCACTAGATGAAATACACAGGAATCAGATTGACTACATCTGTGGCAAGAAGTGTTAGAGAAGTTCATTATTTTCAGGCAAAACAAGGCCAGAAGCTGATTGTGGAACAGACCATCAGCTCCTCATGTGCATGTTCAAGTTGAAGTTGAAGACAATTAAAACAACTCCATGAGAGCCAAAATATGACCTTGATAATAGCCCTCCTGAATTTAGAGACCATTTAAAGAACAGATTTGATGCATTGAACACCAGTGACCGAAAACCAGAGTAATTGTGGGATGATACCAAGAACATCATCCATGAGGAAAGCAAGAGGTCATTAAAAAGACAAGAAAGGAAGAAAAGACCAAAAGAGATGTCAGAAGAGACCCTGAAATTTGCCCTTGAATGGAGAGTAGCTAAAGCAAATGGAGGAAATGACAAGATAAAAGACCTGAACAGAAGATTAGAAAGAACAGCTTGAGCAGACAGAGCCAATTATTATAATGAAATATGCAAAGACCTGGTGTTAGTAAACCAAAAGGAAAGAACACACTCAACATTTCTTAAGCTGAAAGAACTGAGGAAAAAATTTAAGCCTTGAGTTGCAATATTGAAAGATTCTATGGGCAATATATTTAATGATACAGGAAGCATCAAAAGAAGATGGAAGAAATGCACAGAGTGACTGTACCAAAAAGAACTGGTAGATCTTTACCCATTTCAGGAGGTGGCATATGATCGAGAACCAGTGGTATTGAAGAAAGAAGTCAAAGCTGCACTGAAGGAATTGATGAAGAACAAGGCTCCAGAATGACAGAATACCAGTTGAGATGTTTCAACAAACAGATGCCTTGCTGGAGGCACTCACTCAGCTATGCCAAGAGATTTAGAAGATAGCTGCCTTGCCAACTGACTGGAAGAGATCCATATTTGTACCCATTCCAAAGAAAGGTGATCCCACAGAATGTGGAAATTATCTAACATATCATTAATATCACATGCAAGTAAAATCTTACTGGAGATAATTCAAAAACGGTTGAAGCAGTTTATTGACAGAGAGCTTCCAGAAAGGCAAGCTGGATTCAGAAGAGGATGTGTAATGAGGTATATCATTGCTGATGTCAGATGGCTCTTGGCTCAAAGCAAAGAATACCAGAAAGAAGTTTGCTTATATTTTATTGACTATGCAGAACATTCAATTGTGTGGAACATGACAAATTGTGGATAACATTGAGAAGAATGGAAATTCCGGAGCGCTTGATTGTACTAATGAGGAACCTGTGCATAGACCAAGAGGCTGTCATTCAAACAGAACAAGGGGATACTGGATGGGTCAAAATCAAGAAGGAAGTGTGTCAGAGTTGTATCCTTTCACCATAGTTACTCAATTTGAATGTGAGCATTTAATCTGAGAAGCTGGATTATATGAAGAAGAATGTGGCATTAGGACTGGGGGAAGACTCATTAACAACCTGTGATATGCAGATGATACAACTTTGCTTGCTGAAAGTGAGGATGACTTGAAGCACTTACTGATGAAGATTAAAGACTACAGTCTGTAATATGGATTACACCTCAACGTAAAGAAAACAAAAATCCTCACAACTGGTCCAATAAACAGCTTCACGGTAGATGGAAAAAAAGACTGATGTTATCAAGGATTCATATTACTTGGTTCTACAATCAACACCAATGGAAGCATCAGTCAACATCAGATGACATATTACATTGGGCACATCTGCTGCAAAAGACCTCTTTCAAGTGATGAAGAGCAAAGATGGCTCCTTGAAGACAAAGGTGTGCCTAACCCAAGCCATGGTATTTTCAGTCGCTTCATATGCAGTGTGAGAGCTAGGCACTGAATAAGGAAGACTGAAGAAGAGTTGATGCTTTTGAGTTGTGGTGTTGGAGAAGAATGTTAAAGAGTACCATGGTCTGCTAAAATAACTAGTAAATCTGTGTTGGAAGAAGTGTAGCCAAAATGCTTTTTGGAAGCAAGAATGGCCAGACTTCATCTCACCTCCTTTGTCATGTTGTGAGAAGGAACCATTCTCTGGAGAAGGATATTGTGCTTGGTAAAGTGGAAGGTCAGTGAAGAAGGGGAAGGCCCTCAATGAGATGGATTGATACGGTGAGTGCAATGATGGGCTCAGGTATAGCAAGGATTGTGAGGCTGGCACAGGACCAGGCAGTGTTTCGTTCTGCTGTGCGTAGAGTCACTATGAGTCAGAGATGATGGCACCTAACAACAACAGCAGCAGCATGTATCAGTACTTCATTTCTTGCTATAGTTGAATAATACTTGATTGTTGGATATAGCACATTATGTTTATCCCCTCATCAGTTGATGAGCATTTGAATTGTCTCCACATTTTGTTTATTTTGAATATGGCTACTATGAACATTTGTGAACAGACTTTCATGTGGACATATTTCCATCTCTATTGGGTGTATCCCTAGTATAGAGTAGAACTGCTAGGTTATATGGTCATTTTTTGAGGAAGTACAGCGGTGTTTTCCAGAGCAGCTATACCATTTTACATTCCTGCATGCAGTGCACAGGGTACTAATTTCTTCATGTCATTGCCAAACACTTATTTTTGACTTTTTTTTTTTTTTTAATTTTTATTATTATAGTCATCATAGTGAATGTGAAGTGGCATTTCATAGTATTAATTTGCATTTCCCTGATGACTGGTAATGTCAAACAACTTTTCATGTACTTATTGGCCATTTTTGTATCTTTTGCCCATTTTTCACTTGGGTTATTTGTCATTTTATTGAGTTATAGGAGTTCCTTATATAATCTAGATGTAAGTCCCTTATCAGATAAGTTATTTGGAAAAAGTTTTATTCTTTGGGTTATCTTTCATTTCATTTTCTTTGATAAATCCCACTTCATGTATCTTTTCTTTCGCTACTTTTAGTGTCACATTTAAGAAACCATTGCCTAATCCCGGGTCACAAAAGTTTAAGCTTATGTTTTCTTTTAAGAGCTTCATAGTTTTATCTCTTAACAGTTTAGGTCTTTGATCCATTTTGAGTTGATTTTTTTGTACATAATGTGAGGAGGTATGGGTTCAACTTCATTCTTCTGCGTGTATGTACTCAGTTGGCCCGATACCATTTGTTGAAAATACTATTTGCCCCAGTGCAGTATTTTGCCACCTCCAAGACTCTTATGATCTGACCTTTGCTTACTTCCCAAATTCATCTCCCACAACTACTTGTTATCATATGCTTATTCTTTAGGCATAATACTCTGCTTTGCAGTTTGATGAACATATTCATGCCTTTCTGACTTTCTGGTTCTACCTGTGTCCTCTACAAAGAACACCCTTTCATCTCCCTCTTCCTCTGTCTTGAATCTTGAAGATTCTTGTAACATGTTACATCTTTTGCCTTTTCCAGTTTTCCTGCCCTTCCTCAACTGTAGGCAAAAATAGTAACATTTCCTCTCAGTTGTAATGGTGCCCTAAACCTATGTGTGCTAAAGCATTAATCACAGTGCTTGGTGACCAACTCATTATTGAGGGCTTTTATCTCTGAGCCCTAGCATTTTAGCACTGTGTCCACCACATAGTAGATGTTTGTTGAATGAATTTGAGAGACTTTCAGACATTGTAGTGAGTTTTTAATAACACTCATTTTATTTTACATTCTGATGTTCTTTTTTGGTGTTGAAATATCCTTTTATAAAGGGATGGTGTTAATAGGTGGTGAATTTTTTTTAACATGGTAACCCAGTTGTAGGGAGCTCTGGTAGCGTAGTGCCTAAGGCACTTGACTGCTCACCAGAAGGCTGGTGGTTCAATCCCACCAGCCACTCCTCGGAAGGAAGGTTGGGCAATGTACTTCTGTAGTGATACTGCCTAGGAAACCTAAGGAGGGGGTCGCTATGAGTTGGGTCCGACTCAACGGCATGTAACAACAACAACAACCCAATTGTACTTTATTTTTACATTGTCTTAGTCCATGAAATTTAGAATTATGAGAACCACTGAATTATAGAACAAATGTTTTTTAAATGGCATGATGTTTAATAGTTAATAATAACTAATAACAGTATTTATTGAATGTATTTATTGAATGTATTTATTGAATGTATTTATTGAATGTAGTTACTGTTCTGAGCAATTTACATCACTTTCTTCTAATTTCTACCTCTGGCCCTGTGAATGAGCAGTCTGAAGGGACAACTCTCAGTTCATCATCTGCTGTAGGTTCTGTAATGAAAACTTCCGGGCAGCAACAAGTGTGTGTGAGTCAGGCAGCAATGGGAACCTGTAAAGCTACTGCCCCCAGTGTCGTCAGTGCCACATCCCTGGTATCCACACCAACCCCTATCTCTGGAAAAGCCACAGTGTCAGGTAAGTAGTATCCTAATGATATTTCTCTTTCTGTTTCTCTCTTTGGGCCAGAATATTTTGGGAAGTCTTAAAGTTTGAGAAGGTTCTTTAAATTGAATAATAATTTTTAAATGATACATTAGAGAAGTTCTGCTCTACATACATGGGGTCACCATGAGTCGGAATGGACTTGATGGCAGCTAACAACAGCAGGTAGAGATGTAAAATGATAATAAAACCTTCCCCACATTGAATATTCTCACTTTTTTCATAATGTAATTTTGTGGAGAGCTGAGGGCTTGTTCTCCTTAAAGTACAATTTTTTTTAATGTTTTTTTAAATAATTTTGAATAGTAGTCATTATAGAACCTCATACATCTCTTTACTTTTCTTAACCAGTATGTAAAATGTAACTTAGCTTTGATGACTCTTAAATCATAATTTGAAACACTATTTATCCTATCAGCTAACGTTAGAGTGATATTGAAGTCTTTATGATATATGATATCTTTGTGCCCACACTAAATGACCCCAGAAGCATTTGCCTTTTAAGCTTCTTTGGTAACATAGAATGCAAATTCTTTAACCACATTGCCTTGGTTGAAGTAACTTACTTCAGTTTTCTCATCTTAAAAATGTGGATGATGATAATACCTACCTGTGAGGATTAAATAATATTTAAATGCTTAGAATAATGTCTGGCCCATACAAGGCATTTTATAAATGCCAGCTGCTATTATCATCAGTATTGTTGTTATTAGTCTATAATTCCTTATTTAAAATCAAAAAGCTTTGAAAAGTAAACTTTAGGGTAAAACGTGACCTTCGTTGACATACTTAGGTGAATATTTGTGCGTTCTGCCACAGAAGTAGTAGTTGTTTGATTACGCCATGCTGTCCAGATGGAGGGAATAAGAATTGGTGCTTTTCAAACTTGAAGATTCTGTTTTGTTCTTGTTTTTCTGTCATGCAATGCAGACATATATTTCTGTAAAATACAATTAAATTGACACAGCAATGTCAAACTAATAGTTCCTAAACACACACTGTTTCTAATAATATCTTGTTGTATAGCTGACAAACAGTATACTGACTGGCACTGGACTACAGAGAAAACTGAGTATCACTTGATAGGTACGTGCATGTACACAAACGTACATAAATATATACATACAAACACACACCTTATAACCTTAGTATAACAGACAATCGATGATGTTGTGATATTATCACTACTTTTGCATGCATGGCTTCAGACAAAGCCTCTGTATTCTGTCTACATTTTGGACAGTTAGAGACCAAAAGATTAAGGCAAATATATTTTTCCTGTGATTTTCACCTCCTAGTTAAAACTGACCAGATGCTAGCATAGGGAATACTTGTTCTCTGCTCACCACTTACCTGTCAGTTTTTCATACTGTGGTGGTTTGCATGTTGCTGTGATACTAGAAACTATAATGACCTATGGTGGACAGGTTTCAGCAGAGCTTCCAAACTAAGACTAGGAAGAAGGATGGGGCCACTGAAAACCTTATGAATAGCAGTGAAACATTGGCTGATACAGTGCCAAAAGATGAGTGCCTCAGGTTGGAAGCCACTCAGAACGTGACTAGAGAAGAGCTGCCTCCTCAAAGTGAGTCAGCCTTAATGATGTGATGGAGTAAAGCTTACAGGACCTTCATTTGCTGATGTGGCATGACTCAACGAGAAGAAACACAAGCAGATATCCATTAATAATAGGAACGTGAAATATACATAGTATCAATCTAGGAAAACTGGAAGTTGTCAGAAATGAAATGGAATGCATAAAGATCAACATCCTACTCATCTGAAATGTACTGGTATTGGCCATTTTGAATCTGACAATCACATAGTCAGCTATGCCAGGAATGACAAATTGAAGAGGAATGGCATCCCATTCATCATCAAAAAGAACATTTAAGATCTATCTTGCAGTACAGTGCTGTCAGTGATAGGATAGTATCCATACACCTACAAGGAAGAGCAGTTATAATAATATTACTATTATTCAAATTTACATATCAACCATTAAAACCAAAGATGAAGAAATTGAAGATTTTTACCACCTTTTGCAATCTGTAATTGACCAAATGTGCCATTGAGATGTATTGGTAATTAATGGTGATTGGAATGTGAAAGTTCAAAACAAAGAAGCAGCATGAGTAGTTAGAAAATAGGGCCTTAGTGATAGGAATGATGCCGTAGACTGCATGATAAAATTTTGCAAGACTAATGATTCATTCGTTGCAGATAACTTTTTTTCAACAACATAAACAGTGACTACACATGGACTTCACCAGGTAGAATACATAGGAATAAAATTAACTATAGTCTGTGGAAAGAGGCAATGGGAACCTCAGTTTTATTAGGACAAGGCCAGGAGCTGACTGTGGAATAGACCATCATTGTTCAAATGCAAGTTCAAATTGAAGCTGAATAAAATTAGAACACATCCATGAGAGCCAAAATACTACCTTGATGATATCCCACTTGAATTTATAGACCATCAGAAAAATACATTTGATGCATTGAACACTAATGATGGAAGACCATGTGTGTTGTGGATGACATTAAGAACATCATACATAAGGAAAGCAAAAGGTCATTAAAAAGGTAGGAAGAAAAGACCAAGTGGATGTCAGAAGAAACTCTGAAGCTTGCTCTTATATGGAGAACAGCTGAAGTGAATGGAAGAAGTGTTGAAATACAAAAGCTGAGTTCAAAAGGCAGCTCAAAAAGAGTAAAGTATTATAATGAAATGTGCAAAGACCTGAAATTAGAAAACCTCAGTATTTCTCAAACTGAAAGAACTGAAGAAAAAAGTCAAACCTCAAGTTGCAATACTGAAAGATTATTTGGGCAAAATACTGAATGATAAGGGAAGTATCAAAAGAAGAAGGGAGAAATACACAGAGTCACTGTACCAAAAAGGATTGGTTGATGGTCAGCAATTTCAGGCAGTAACACATGATCAAAAACTGATGATATTGAAGGAAGAAGTCCAAGCTGCACTGAAGGAATTGGCAAAAAATCTTCAATTGATAAAAATTATTAAAAAAGGCTCCAGGAATTGATGGAATAGCCAGAATAGCCATTGAGATATTTTAACAAATGGATGCAGTGCTGGAGGCACTTGTTTATGCCAAGAAATTTGGAAGACAGTTACCTAGCCAACCATCTGAAAGAAATCTAAATTTGTGCCTATTTCAAAGAAAGGTCATTCAGCAGAATGTGGAGATTATCAAGTAATATCACGCACAAGTAAGTTTCCTGAAGGTAATTCAAAAATGGTTGCAGCTGTATATTGACAGGAAACTTGCAGATATTCAAGTGGGATTCAGAAGGATATTCAAGTGGGATTCAGAAGAGGGTGTGGAACAAGGGATATGATGTGTGATGGATCTTGGCTGAAAGCAAAGTATACCAGAAAGATGTTTACCTGTGGTCTGGGTTTTTTTTTTAAGAGAATAATTTATTAGTTTCTACAATTTATAAAAAGAAGAAAACTGGGGATGACAAGGGGGCAAGATCCAGGTAAGAGGAGAGAGACAGGCCCCACCCAAGAAGCAGGAAGGAGGGAAAGGCGGGGATGACAAGGCAGCAGGATCCAGGTAAGGGGATGGCGGAGAGGTTTCAAAAAGCTAAGGGAGATGAACTTGTCTGTCAGTTTGTTGTACTGTGGTGGCTAGCTGTTGCTGTGAGGCTTAAGGCTGTGCCACCAGTGTTTCAAATGCCAGCAAGGTTGCACATGGTGCACAAGTTTCAAAACAGCTTACAGACTGAGACAAACTAGGAAGAAGGAAGAGGCCACCTACTTCTCAAAGAATTGGCCAAGGAAATGAATTGCAGAGAAACACTGTCTGATACATTACTGGGCAGCTTCATGAATAGCCTGGAAACACTATCCAATGCAGTGCAGGAAGATGAGCCCGTTAGGTCAGAAGGCACTCAAAATATAACTGGGGAAGAGTTGTTTCATCAGAGTAGAACCAACCTTAATGATATGGGTAAAGTAATGTTTTCAGGACCTCCATTTGGTGACATGGCGTGACTCAAATTGAGGATAAATAGCTGCAAACATCCATTAATAATTGGAACATGGAATGTATGAAGTATGAATCTAGGAAAATTAGAAATTGTCAAAAAATGAAGTGGAATACATAAAGATTGGTATCCTAGTCATTAGTGAGCTGAAATGGACTAGTTTTGGCCATTTTGAATCAGACAACCTTATGATCTGCTGTGTCAGGAATGACAATTTGAAGAGGAATGGCGTGGCATTCATCATCACAAAGGATGTTCCAAGGTCTGTCCTGAAGTACAGTACTGTCAGTGATAAAATAATACCCATACACTGAAAAGGAAGATAAGTTATTACTACTATTATTCTAATTTACCCAGCAACCACCAAAGCCAAAGATGAGGAAATTGAAGATTTTTATCAACTTCTGCATTCTGAAATTGACCAAACATGCAATCAAGATGTATTAATTATCATTGGTGACTGGAATGCAAAAGTTGGAAACGAAGAGTTACCAGTAGTTGGAAAATATGGCTTTGGTGACAGAAATAAAGCTGGAGATCACATGGTAGAATTTTGCAAGACCAATGACTTATTCATTGCAAATATTCAACAATATAGATGGTGGCTATAGAGGTGAACTTTACCAGATGGAATACACAGGAATCAGATTGACTACATCTGTGGCAAGAGGTGATGGAGAAGTTCAATAGCTTCAGCCAAAACAAAGCCAGGAGCTGATTGTGGATCAGATCATCATCTGCTCATATGCAAGTTCAACTTGAAGTTGAAGACAACTAAAACAAGTCCACGAGAGCCAAAATGTGATATTGAATATATCCTTTCTGAATTTAGAGACCATCTAAAGAATAGATTTGCTGCATTGAACACCAATGACTGAAAACCAGAAGAATTATGGAATGACATCAAGAACATCATCCATGAAGAAAGCAAGAGGTTATTAAAAATACGAGAAAGG